AATCATGAATTTATTCTTTTTTCTTGTTCTTTGACCGAGATTTATTTTGTATCTAACTTCTTCCCCACTCAAAACATTCGCCTTTTATTATATTAAACATAAGCAGACGTTAAATTAAAATTATACGAAACTCACGAAGAAACCTTTCCTCGCAAGGCGTTGGAGAAAACGTAGTGCACAACTCGTGGTGAAAGAATGATTTTTCGCCACTAGTTGTACAATGTACTATTTATTACTATTTTCTAAATTTATTCTTATTGTTTTTGTATCATTATTCTTTTTCGCACCTTTTCGATTCTTTAGTTTTTTAAAAAAACTATTATTTTTTTTCTGCGTAAAAAATAAATATTACTTTCAGCCCACTTTCAACTGAAACCGTATTTACGATATTAGAATAATTTTTAACTGAGTTTCAGCTTTTCAAAGCTGAAAAAAATTTCCAATTTTCAACGTGTTGCATCATGGATGCTTGATGAAGTGAAATTAAGACAACTTTAGTTGATTTCATTAGCAAAGTTAAATAGTTTATTTTAATATAAAATGTGATGCTCTTAGTTACATAGCTATAACGAGACTGTCTTATCTTTCCCCAAATAATACACACACACACTCATCTCTCATACTACGAGACACCTATACTTCTTGACTAGTATCCAACACAACGTATGATTTTAAGTTCTAAATTTATAGTTTTAAATGAAAATAGACTTCTTATTATCATATAAAAAATGGATTTTTTCACTTAAAGTTTATTCGTTTTCTCAATGACCAGATATTTCTCAAGTAAAGGAAACAGAAATGAAAAAGTCAAATAATCGCATTCTTTCAGTGCTAAAAAAAAAGAAAAAGAATTGCGGAAATGAAATTATGAAACTTTCAATTGATGCTATTAGATGTTTATCTCTCTGTCCCTCTCTCTTTCTTTCTGTCTCTCTCGGTAACAATTGCAGTGTGATACAGATACAGATATTGGATCAATAGGAGCAATTATGGATGGGCTTGCATATCCTACGATAAATGATATCTCATAAGGCGGTATACATACACGGAGAGGAGTCATTACTCTCCTTGTTCTCAAGATACGTTTACAATAGTATTCTTTATTTTTTTCTTCTTCCAATTAATTTCTCCTCCAGATATTCTTAATGCAACTCTGTTAAAATTTTGACTTTGAAAATTTTTTATTTCTCTCCAGGATTTCTCATTTAAGTATATTTTTACTTTATTTTTAATTATATTTATCTTATTTAATTTCTTATTTAATTTATACCAGGAAATGGTTGCTATGTTGTTGTTTATTATAAAGCAATTGTTATTAATTAATTTATTCCATTATTAATTATTATTTAATTATATTATGTAGGTATAACTATTAATTATTATTAATTAAACATAATAATTAACTATAATAATCTTCGTATTTAAATTATTATTAAATTAATTAAATTAAATTATTATTAAACAATTGAAATCTGACGAAGAATTAAAAAAAATTTTTTTAAATAAAAAAAATATTAATTTTTTGAAAGAATTGAATTCTTGGGAAGAATTTTATTAAAAATTTTTAAAATTAATTGATTTTCTTCGAAGAATTTTTTTTTTTTACGAAATTAATTGAATTGTTTCGAAGATTTTTACAAAGATTTTTGTTATTGTATTCCTAGGAAGAATGTTATATTTTACGAAAATAATTGTATTCTATGATCAATTTTATTATAGTTTTTCAAATTTATATAAAGTATTTTATCAACATTTTTTTAAATAATTGAATTCTCGAGAATATTTTTATTATTTATGAAAATAATTGATTTCTTGCGAAGAACTTTATTTCAATTTTTTAAAATAATTGAATTCTTAAGAAGAATTGTATTAAAAATAATTGAATTGTATAGGAAAATTTGATTAAAATTGCAATTTTATTGACTAAATCTTGTAAAGAATTTTGTCAACATTTTTTTTAAATATAATAGAATTTTTCAAAGAATTTTTTTTTAATTTTTCGAAATAATTGAATTTATCAAAACTATTTTTTTCAATTCTCTGAATATATTTAAATTCTTTTGAGAAACTTCATTTAAGGGGTTACACCACTTTGAAATTTTCAAAAAATTGAAAAAAATTTTTTTTGCTTAAAAGACTCTTTGTGGACACCAAAATGATATGTCATTAGTTATATATCGATATCTTAAATAAAAAGACAATTTTCGAACTGTTCAAGCAGGGTCGCGCGCTAACGTTTACATTGTAATGAAAACTTTAAACTCGTTTTTCTCAAAACTGTATTTTAAAAATCGGTGGACACTCTAGCTGCCACAATTTTCAATCGATTCTCTTAATTCTTTTTTTATTTTGTTTGTGATATAATTATCTAGCGAAATACGTACGGATTTTTCGAAATATTAATATTTAAATTTTCTAGACAACTTTAAATTATGAAATTTAGGCAAAAATACGGATTTTTTCCTTCAAATCGATGCCATTTTGCGAAAAATAAATTTTTTTTAAAACGGATACGTATTTCGCTAGATTTTGAGCTACAGAAAATAAAGCATTTTTACTTTTTGGTCTAGCTTAATTCTGGACCGAGTTATAGTGTCCACCGTATGGCGATACATTTTTAAAGCACTTTAACATATCATCTGTCAAACCGACAATTTAAAAAAAAAAAAAAAATTTATATATATTTTTTTGTAGTTCAAGAGTAGTACAATACCCTACTGTAATTTAATTTTCCTAAAAAAATTTCTATTCTTCAATAAAAATTGTTGAAAAAGCTTATGTTTTGAACGGGTCAAAGTGGTGTAACCCCTTAAGACTTTAAAACTTTTATTCATTAAAACTTTTATTACAATTTTGTTTAAATAATTGAATTCTTTTGGAAAATTATATTAAATAGTAGATATTAAAAGAACTGAAATGAGGGAAATTCTTTAAAATAATTGAAATTTTGACACGAATTTTATTAAAATTTTTTAAAATTAATTGAATTCTAAAGAAGTTTTTAATTTAAAGAGATTATTATAATTGGTATTTTGTGGAGATATTTTTGTGAATTTTGAACATAATTGAATTTTGTGATAAAAATTGTATTACTTTTGAAAATAATTGAATTTCTGCAATCATATGTAACTTCTTTAAAATTCAAAATTTTTTAGTGTTTTTAACTAAAATTCTTCTATAAATGAATTATTTTTAATAATTAATTAACCCCTTGGCTGTCAACGAGATTTCCACTGTTTGGGCCAAAAGTGTGTTGAAAAAAATTTTAATGGATTTTTATGAAACTTGGTACCCTAAGGTTTCTGGGGTCGCTGATTACGAATCTGACATCAGTTTTTAGAAATTCAAAATGGCGGATCCAAGATGGCGGAAATTTTTTCAAAATTCGTCGAATTTGCTTGAAACTTGTTACTCGGGGGTTTTAAGGGTCGCTGATTACGAATCTAACATTAGTTTTCTAAAATTCAAAATGGCGGATCCAATATGGCGGACGACAAAATAAAAAATTATTTATAATAGCTTGAAACTGAATATTCGGGGGTTTTTAGGGTCGCTGATTACGAATCTGAAATCAGTTTTTCAAAATTCAAAATATCTGGTTCAATATGGCGGAAAATTTTTTAAAATTTATTGAATTTGTTTAAAACTGGTTAATATGACATCAGTATGATAATTTTTGGTGAAATCGAATTTCGATAAATACCCTAGAAAAATAATGACAGATTCGTAATCAGCGACCCTAATAACCCCTGAGTATTCAGTTTCAAGCCAATGTGATCAATTTTTTATCTCGTTGTCCGCCATATTGGATCCGCCATTTTGAATTTTGGAAAACTAATATTAGATTCGTAATCAGCGACCCTTAAAACCCCCGAGTAACAAGTTTCAAGCAAATTCGACGAATTTTGGAAAAATTCCGCCATCTTGGATCCGCCATTTTAAATTTCGAAAAACTGATGTCAGATTCGAAATCAGCGACCCTAAAAACCCACGAGTACTACGTTTCAAGTCAATCTGATCAATTTTTTATTTTGTTGTCCGCCATATTGGATCCGCCATTTTGAATTTTGGAAAACGAACGTCATATTCGTAATCAGCGACCTCGAAAACCCCCGAGTAAACGGTTTCAGGAACATTTAAGAAGTTTTTAATCACTTTTTTTAAGTTGCGCATATATGCGTCATGAAACACTTTTGGCCAGTTTTGTTTTGCGCATATATATATGCGTCAGCGACAGTCAACGGGTTAAATATGTATTGACAAATTTAACTAATTTTAGAAGATTTTGAATTATTAAATTTTTTCAAAAATCTAAGTTCATTAAAATTTCTAATTAAATTCATTCAACATTGAAATTTTATAAAATTTCAAATTGAAACCGTTCGAACTTGATTTACTTATGAAAATTGTAAAGGCAACTCTCATAAAATTGAATTAATTTTGAAATATTTATTTTAAATTATTTATTAAATTGAATTTAAATTGAAAAAATTGAAGGTTTTTGTATTAGAATTCGTGGTAACTTTATAGTTTATGAGTCAAACAAAAAAGACACAATAATTCAGAGTTTTCTTATGACTTTTAAGAATTTAATTTTTTCCATTAAAAATTCTTGACTTTCCCCTGAATTCGCTATGTCGCTTTAATCATATATTCTGATATAAGATTATTATAATTATAATAATATTAAAACTTAATATTCCAATTCGTATTTTATTTTTATAAAAAAAATTTTGAATTAAACATTTTTACGTTCAATTATTTTTAAAATTGCTAATTTTATTTTTAAAAAAAAAGTGAGCGAGAAATCAAATTATTGCTAGTATATACCTAATTAATAATATTTACAATAAATAATATTATTGTAAATTTACTGAAAGTTACAAATTGACAGAAAACTTCTCCGAATTTTTGTATGGAAGAGAATATGCATTATTTAGCACAACAATAGTTATTTGCATGAATATAATTTATCAAGTGAGATGTTATTTCTTTTACAGGTGGTTTATGTCGGTGAGGGGGCACAATATGTACCAGTGCCTTCATTGAAGAGCAGACCTTTGAGCCCCAATTTACAGGCTCTTCAAACACTACAAGGTCTCCAGGGTCTCGCAGGTGGTGGCGTCGGAGGAACAGGACTCGCATCCGACGAGGAATGGAGAAGACATCCGGAATCTTGGGATCGCGAACACAGAAGATATAGGCCTAATACCACCAGAGTGCAACGTGAGTTTTCTTCTTTCATTTTACTTCTCGATTCTAATCCCCTAGCGGAATTAACCTGATAGAGCATAGCAAGACTCTATATTGCAAAAGCATTACAGTATAAGAAGGAAACGTGCAGAGACAACACGATTTAATTAGTAATCTCCAACTTGAATTCCAATCCCTTTTTTTCCTCTTCTTCTTCTTCTTCTTCTTCTTCTGCTGCTGCTTCTTGGCCTGCCCAACCTCCGCCGGAAGACATTCTTTACTCCCCTATAGTCCCTTTTTTTGTAATTATTTCACCAACTCTATCGTAGGGAAAAGTATTTTCCTTCTCAATTTAGAAGAATATCAGGATTGCCAAAACAATTTAATTTTGTTTTTCCCTGATTTCCGAATAAAATTTTAATCACGACCCTAAAGAATATTCTGATTCACTCTAAAAATGATTATTTATCATTTAAAATATAATAGAAAATTTTCTGTTATTTTTATTTACAAATTTCATTAATTTTAAAATTATTCATCAAAATTCAAAACATCAATAATTTCTATTTTTAAATAAATATTTAATCATTATTTTTCCATACAAATTAAGGTTTTCAAAAATTTCAAATTCAAACTTTTTTGAAATTCAACAACTTATAAGAATATTATTACAAAAAAATTTCGAATAATTTCAAGAAAAATTGAATTCAACTTTTTAAAAAAAATTAATTCTACAAAATTGTTATAGTTAAAAGAATGAAAAATTCGAATTTTCAAAGATTTTAATTTGAAACCTTCTCAAAATTTAATTATTTCTAAAAATTCATGCTATAATGATTTTAATAGTCAACTAGGAACAATTCGTGCGCTGAAGCGCGCGGCTAACTTCTTCTTGCCCTTTTTTAAAATAAAATTAGCAATTTTAAAAATAATGGAATTTAAAAATTTTCTAATTTAAATTTTTGTTGAGAACACTAAAAAAATTCAATTTTGGAGAAATTACAAATAATTGCAAAAATTCAATTATTTTCAAAGAAAAATAAAATTCAACTATGTTCAAAATTTTAAAAAAAAAACCTCGTAAAAATCCCAATTATCTTTATAAATAACAAAATTCTTCATCAAAGTTCAATTATTTATATAAATGCCAAAAAAATTCTTGTCTTAATTTCAATTATTTTCAAAAATTTTTCTTATTTCAATTATTTTCAATATCTAGGTACTATTTTAATAAAATTTCCCAAAAAGAATTCCATTATTAAAAAAAAACTAAAATAAAATTCTATGCAAACATTTAATTATTTTCATAAATAATAAAAATTTCATGATATAAAAAAATGAAAAATTTTCATAATTAAAATTCATCTGAAATTAGTTAAATTTTTAAATATAGGTATAAATTTAATTGATTATTAAAAATAATGAAAAAAAATAATCCAAAATTCAATTACATTCAAAAATTTTAATAAAATTGTTGGCAAAATTTCAATTATGTTGAAATTTTTTTTTAAATTCTCGTCAAAATAAAAATTATTTTTATAAATAATAAAATTCTTCTCTAAAATTCATTTTTTCAAAAATTTTTCTAATTTCAATTATTTTCAATATCTACTATTTTAATAAAATTACCCTAAAAAGAATTCAATCATTTAAAAAAACTATATTAAAATTCTATGCAAACATTTAATTATTTTTATAAATAATAAAAATTTCACAGGAAATCAGTTATTTTCATGAATAATAAATTTTTTTTAAGGAATTCTATTATTTTCATAAAAAATAATTTAAATTTCTAGAAAATAATAATTTAATTAAAATGATGAAAATAATTTTGATTAAGTTACAGTAACAATATTCTTATGATATAAAATAATAAAAAATTTTCATAATTAAAATACATCTGAAATTAGTAAAATTTTTTAATATAGGTATAAATTTAATTGATTATTAAAAATAATGAATTTGCAGAAGAATTTTAATTACTTATTTTTAAATAATCAAATTCTTCTCCGAAACACAATTATTTAAAAAAATTTTAATAAACTTCTAAACAAATTTTCAATTGTCTTTATAAATAATAAAATTCTCCTCCAAAATTCAATTATTTTTAAAAATTTTAATAAAATTCTTAGCAAAATTTCAATGATTTACAAAAAATTTTCTAATTTCAATTATTTTTATTATCTACTATTTTATTCCCCAAAAAAATCCAATTATTTAAAAAAAACTTTAATAAAATTCTATGCAAACATTTAATTATTTTCATAAATAATAAAAATTTCACAGAAATTCAGTTATTTTCATGAATAATAAATTTCTTTGAGGAATTCAATTATTTTCATAAAAAATAATTTAAATTCTAGAAAACAATAATTGAATTAAAATGATGAAAATAATTTTGATGAAGTTACAGTAAGAATATTCTTATAATATAAAATAATGATTTTTATTACTTGGTCATCTTTAATTATTTGAAAACATGAAGAAATCAATCACTCCGAGTCTTCGACTCGGAGCAATCGATATCTTCATGTTTTATAACAATACTTTGATAAGTTGTTTAATTTAAAAAAGTTTTGAATTTGAAATTTTTGAATGTCTTAATTCCTGTGGAAAATCCAGTTCCAAAAATAAGACTAAAAATAAAAATTGTGCAAATATTTTTCTTCTTTTTCTAAAACAAAATAATAATTTTGTTGAAAAAATTGTGATTCAGAAACAAAAATAATGCAAAATAAATAAATTTTCTATTTCTTAATCACAGTTGTTTAACAATTTTCTAATTTTGTTTAGAAGTAAAGAATAGAAATCTGCATAATTTCAATTTGACAGAACATAATATTTAACAAGATTTTAGTCTTTTAATGAAAAGAAGTAAAAAAAGTTCTGATGATTTTTATCTGTCATTACAATTTTGAATTAATTGTAAAATAAAAATAATCATAACATATAATATTTTTAATTTTAACTGAAAATTCATTTTTAAGGTGTAACACTACTCTAGAGGCAGAAATAGAGATCAATTTTTGATGATTTGTTTTGGGAAAATGAAAAAAGTAATAGGATTTCTTTTTGGAGGGTTTGTTAAATACATATTGAAGTGTAGAAAAACAAATTTTTTTATTTAAAATTTTATAACAAATAAAATTGCGGCTATAAATTTCATATTCAAAATCGACTATTTTTTTATGACCAAAAGGGCCGAACAATTTTTTTGAAATTTCAAGTCATGGAACAGAAAACAAAGAAATTTTATGATCTATATAATATAAACTTTAGAAGTATATATGGGATTTTTTTATATCAATTTTTTTTTAAATTGTGCACTTTTTGAGTAAAACAATCGATTTTTTGCAAAAAAAACAAACAGTAAATTGATTATGAAAAATAAAGTTTACATCCAATTAAAAAATTCATGTGTACTTCAAAAGTTTATAGTGTATAGTTTATAAATTTCCTTTGTTTTTTGTTCCAGAACTTAAACTTTTAAAAAAACTTTTCCGGCTATAAAAAATAGTCGGTTTTGAATATGAAATTAACCGCCGCCATTTTGTTATATAATTTAAAAAATTTTGTTATATAATTTAGAAAGAAAATTTTTTTTATACACTTCAGTATGTATTTAATAAACCCTCTAAAAAGAAATCCTATTCCATTTTTCATTTTCTCAAAATAAATCATCAAAAATATTGTCTCGTATTCTGCCTCTAAAGTGGTGTTACACTCCTTAAATAAATTTTTATCAAAAAATTCTACGCAAATTAAATTATTCAAATACGAAAATAAATAATTTACGGACTAATTAAATGTTTTCTGAAAGTTGAATTCTCATAAAGAGTTTTATAAACAAATTTTTAAATAATTGAATTTTTTTGACGAATTTTAATAAAATTCTTAAGAATAATTATATTTTTTGAGGAATTCGATTAAAATTGTACAAAATATAATTGAAATTCTGCAATGAGTTTTATTATTTATAAAAATAATTCGATTCCTACTCTCTAAAACTGAATCAGTGAAATTTGACTGAGAATCAGTGACTCTATTCTCGCGATTTGAATCAGTGAAATTTCACTGAAGATCAGTTAAAAATGATTGAAATTTCAGTCATTTTTCACTGATTGGCCAATTAAAAAACTACTGAAAATTTCAATATGTGTGACAGAAATGTTCAGTAGTTTTTTAATTGTCGAATCAGTGGAAAATGACTGAAATTTCAGTTATTTTTAACTGATTTTCAGTGAAATTCCACTGATTCAAATCGCGAGAATAGAGTCACTGATTCTCAGTCAAATTTCACTGATTTTCAGTGGAATTTCACTGATTCAGATTTAGAGAGTATAAAGAATTTTATTATTTCTGAAAATAATTTAATCTCTTAAAAAAATTATACCTATTATTAATTTCGAATGGATTAATAAATTGAATTGGATTGAAATTCGTTATTTGGGAGTTTTTGAGGTCGCTGACTACGAATCTGGCATTAGTTTTTGAAAATTTAAAATGATGAATTCAATATAGCAGACAAAAATTAAAAATTGTCTGGATTTACTTTAAACTGTTTAATTCTAAATAAATAAAATACATAAAAATGTTTTCTTCTATATTCTTTTTGCATTTTTTTTTATTTAATTTTTCCGTTTCATTTCGTCGTCCTTTCTTTTTTCTTCATCTCCTATTTCATTTTCTTTCTCTCTTTTCTCATTGTTTCTCTAAAATTTTATTTCCTCTATGTATATTCATTTCTATCCACCGTTTTCTCCCCGACTTCTTTTCCCTCTATATATATTCGTATTTTCCCTTTTGTTGTTTTTTTCATACTTTTTTCGTTCTTTTTTGCTCAAAAAGGAACTGCCCTTCGATGAGTCATTATTAGAGGCAACCTCGGGGCGGTAGGTAATGGTCTAAAGAAAGTAATTACTTAGGTTAAATAATGTATGATGCTGACTTTCTTGTCCTCTTCTCTATTGTAGCCGGAGGAAATTCTCGCTGAAATGCTCAACAGAGTTATTCTAAACTGCAACGTGGAAACA